AGTTGTTCTTCTGTAATTACAATCCTTTCTGGTTACATTTCTGGTTTTGAACACTAGATGGGACTAAGAGATGACTTATTTTACAGTATTGGTAGCAGAAAGGATTTCCCAGCCTTCCAGCTTTATTCTAAATGAAGTGTTGTTGGCTGATGGACAGAGTAGATGAAAACAGGGCTATTTCTCTTTTCTCTCTTGAGATGGCTTCCTGTTTATTTTAAATGGTGCCTTTGATCGATATTTAGGCAACATTAAAACCTTAAAGATGCAAGTAGTACAGGAGCGTGTGGCCGAGATACACCACGGTATTTTCCTAAATTGCGATTTATAGAGAAACACAATAAAATCAAAGGAATTAGCAATGTCACATGTTCTTACTTTAATCACCACAAGCCTGGCAGGTAATTATAAAAACTATTTGATGGCTGTATTAGACTCCGAAGAAAAATATTAGAAATGTTGTATATGTTTTTTTATTATTTTTAATGAGCCCTACATGAATTAACACCTTTCTCTAAAAGAAAAACAATCTCTCTGAAATTTATGCAATACATGATGAGTAATAATCCGTAATGAGTGATTGTCTCCGAAAAGAATAGAATAGCTAGAAATAGAGCTTTATAGCCTTGTTTATACAGTTTATAACAGAATACTTTTATTTTGTTTCATTTCATTTCATTTCATTTCATTTCATTTCATTTCATTTCATTTCATTTCATTTCATTTCATTTCCAGTATAGTTAACATACAGTGTTATATTACTTTCAGGTGCATAATATAGTGATCTAGCAGTTCTACCCATTACTCTCATCATGACAAATGTGTCCCTAATCCTGTTCACCTGTTTCACTCATCCCCTCACCAGACCTCCCCTCTGGTAACCATCAGTTTGTTCTCTAGTGTTAAGTCCATTTTTGGGTTTGTCTCTTTTTTCCCCTTTGTTTTGTTTCTTAAATTCCACATTTGAATGAAGTCATATGGCATTTGTCTTTCTCTGACTTCTTTTGCTTAGCATTACACTTTCTAGATCCATCCATGTTGTTGCAAATGGCGAGATTTCATTCTTCTTTATGGCTGAGTAATATTCCATTGTGTATCATGGGATACCTTCTTTATCCATTCATCTTTTTTATCCATTCATCCAGTGATGGACATTTGGGCTACTTCCATAATTTTGCTATTGTAAATAATGCTGCAATAAACAAAAGGACACATATATCCTTGTGAATTAGTGTTTTTGTATTCTGTGAATAAATAACCAAGAGTATGATGACTGGATCATAGGGTAGTTCTATTTTTAATTGTTTGAGGAACTTCCGTATTGTTTTCCACAGTGGCTACACCAGTTTGCATTCCCACAACAGAATGCGTTTTAAGGAATTATATTAACATTTTATGAAAATATATCATTGTAAGAAATGTACCAATTGCTGTATGAACTTCACATTGACCTAGCAGTGCTTGCTTTCCTTTCACATTTCTAAAATAATGACATACACATACACACATAACCCTAATACATAGCTTAAGAAAAATAATAGTGTGAGGAAGGGTGGTAGGAGAGAACAAGTGAATAAAGGGAGAGGAAAGAAGAAACCTTTATAAATATTTAAAGATATTTTTCACTGAAATAATTCCGAGAAAAATCAACATTAAATTGGAGCTATCTCATCTCACTTGTTACTTACTGTTCAGGGCTACTAATGTGTAAGTTGGTTTGAAAGAGGTAACTATATCCCATTCACCTAGAGCATTTTTTAGAATGTTCTTTGTTTTTCACTAGTCATAAGATGTTTTTTATTCACCAGAAACTCTAACCACTGTGTTACCTTTCTGGCTTTCTATCTGTTAGTTTTCCATCCAGAGGGCTGTGTTGAGACTTGCTGATCTTTCAGGATAGACTCAACAGATCTGGTTAAAAGAGCACACTGGACTCTTTGGCATCCATTAGACCACTGTTTTCCAAAGTGTGTTCTACAGAACACTGGTGTTCCACGTGATGTTAATGGATTGCCCACTAAAGCAGTGTTTCATAGTTAAGTATCTTTAGGAAATGCTAGGTTAAATAATTTGAAACTTGTTTGCTTATAGTATAATTTCACAGTCTTCAGTATGCTAATGATGCATTAAATATTTTGACTGTTTGGCCCTGATTTTCTTTTTTAACTCCATTACACCCTTTATGTTTGAGGACACCAATGGGGATTGTTCTACCAACTTTTTTTTCTTTTTTTTCTTTTTTTTGTCCTTTACAGATTTTAATTGTGATCTGTCTCTAGATGCCTCTACATTTATTTTGTAGTATTGTTATAACTATTCCTTTGTAACTATAGCCTCCACTGCCTTATGTTGTGTTTGCCTGGCAAAACCCCAACCCTGGTTCAACTAACTTTATGCCTACCTCATGCTTGTGCCTGAGTGGTTGAATGTGGCTAGAGAAAGGCACGACATGCTCACTGGTCTCACTTCACATTCATGACTGCTAACCTCTGGTGAGCCCTAAGGCCTGCCCCACAATCCTACTAAACAGACTCTTGTCTGTTCTTCCATACCACTCAGTTCCACTCCTTTTTCCCTCAGACGTCTCTTAACCTCCATTTCCCACCCTCCCTCTCCGCTGATAGCCTTGTGTCCTGGTCGTTGAAGAAAAAGACAGTCAGGGGAGGCGTCCTCGTGCTCCTACTGTTGTCTGGTGGGTGTATTCCTGATCTCTACCCATCGACAGGACCCTCTCTGTGACGGTGGGTGTGCCTGCCCCTGCCTCAGGGGCCCAGTCTCACACACAGGGTTCCATTTCCTCACCAGGTCATCCCTCTTTGTTGATTATTTCTACCAGTATCCAAACAGGAGAAAGGATTTGGCAGGTTTTTTTGATAACTGGGGGAGCCCTAGCACATAGAACACTACCCTGATCATGGTTGGTCAGCATGTATTTCTTGAATAAATGAAGTAATACTTCCCATCTTTTAAAAAGAGTTTTATTTTAAAGTAATTTTAAACTTAATAGTGTAGAGTGCGGTGCCTGGCTGGCTCAGTCGGTAAAGCATGCGATGCTTGATCTCACAGTCATGAGTTTGAGCCCCACGTTGGGGATAGAGTTTACTTTAAAAAAAGTAGTACAGAGAATTTACATATATTCTTCACTCAGCTTCCCCCTGAGTATCTCCCAACTTGAAAAAACAAAAACAAAAAACAAAAGTTTCCTTTTGCTATCTAATGTTACAGGTCTCTGTTTCCTTTTAAAACAGCTACTTGAATGAATATGTTTTCTGTACCAGCTGACTCTGTCTGCTGTCCTTCCATTTTCTCTTAAACCCACCCTCTTCCAGCTTTTGCCCTTTCTTATTCCCAGCTCCACCAGAACAGCCCTTGCCAAGAATGTTAATGAACTTCACATTGGTAAATCCAGTAATCAGTTCTTGTTCTTTGATCTAGCGTGAGCATTTAACTTAGTTGATTTCTTTCTTCTTGCTTTCCTTCTCTTATTTTCTAGTCATTTCTTCTTGGGCTTCTTTGCCTCCTACTTCTTCTGTTCTCTCTCTATACTCATTCTCTGGATGGCCTCATCTCTGTTCATGACCTTAGACATCATCCCAAATGCTGATGCTCCCACAGTTACATCTTTACCTTTGATCTTGTGTTTGAACTCCAGATTTTCATGCTCATTATCTGTTTGGCTTCTTTACCTGTTTGTCAGACATATTGATAAAACAAACAAAAAGCAAAAAACCTCTCCATTCACCATTTGGAATGCCATAGACTGTGTCTCTAGTCTTCCTATCTCAGGAAATGGTCCTACATTCTTCTGATGGCCCCTGCCCCAAACCTTGGGATGTTCCTGACTTCTTCACATCACTCACATTCTGTATCAAATCTACCAGTATATCCTGTTGGTGCTTCCTTGAAAATACAGACCCAAAAACATGATCGCTTCTTATTATCTTCACCACCAGCACTCTGGTTCAGGCCTCCATCATCAACTCTTGCAAAAGCCTCCTCACAGCCTCATCTCGGTTTCCAATGTGGTTAGTTGTCTGCAAAACAGTCACAATAATTACTTTAAAAACATGAATTAGATTATGCCACTCTTCTGCCTAAAACCCCCTACATGATACTGTAGTAAACATCATTTTTCTCTGAATAAAATCCCAAGACCTTACCATGCCTAAAGGCCCTTCCTGATACTATTTCCTGTTCTCTGCTTCCCTCAGTGTGTTCCTGACCCAGCTCTGAGACTCCCACCTCACACACAGCCTTTGTACTTGCGTCCTCTCTGCATGGATTGGCTTTCTAGTGTGCATTTGAGTGGCTCAGTTCTTTCTCCACTTTCTTCAGGTGTCACCTTATTTGAGAGGCCGCTGTGACTGTGCTGTGTAAAGGAGTATCTTTCCATGTTTGCTCTCTGCTTCCTTCTTCCACCTCTTGTCTGCATCGCGTTGTGCCACCAGAGTATTTATTTTGTTAATTTGTTTCCTGTCTCTTCCCGGAATACCGCAGACTCCACAAAAGCAGGAACTTCGTATGTGTTTTATGTGCTGCTGTCTCCTCAGTGCCTGTCCCAGTGTCTGGTGCATTATAAGCACTCAGTGTTTGAATGAGTGAGTGAGCAAATGAATGAATGAAATGAGTTGTGTGTACGATGAGGAATACATGGAACAAGTCTGATTAGGAGCAACGAATCAGATGCCAGATAAGGCGTAGTGATAAAGAGGTCTTGCAAAAATACATGCCTGACTGAAGGAAAGATGAGAGAGAGGAGAAGAAAGAGGTGAGGAAAGGAAAGGAATACCTCCTCTTAATACCTGGCCGCTGCCATTCTAACAGATGATAGAAGCGTGTTTGTTTTTCGAGGGTGATCGAGCTTCGTGCTTCTTGCACGTTTGCCCTTAGAGATGCTGAAATAACTTTAGCTTGCCTGTGTATATGATTATTTATGTACACATTTATTTGTATTTGAGAATTGATCCTGATCGTTACAGTTTTGTGATTTATATAACCTACAGGTGTGAAGCATCGAGCCCACACATTCATCCAGTCGGGTGGTGTAAAGAACATAGAAGGACACTCATTACTCCTCCAGGTTTGTGTTTATTATGTGTCTAATAATTATTCTTCATATGCATCAGGAGTCTGCAAACTTTTTCTGTAAAGGGCCAGATAGTACATAACTTTGGCTTTGTAGGCCACACATCTCTGTCACAACTACTCAATTCCAGTTTTAATGCACAAAGCAGCCCAGACGATAAGAAATGAATGAACATAGTTGCGTTGCAGTAAATCTTTACTTGCAAAGAACAGGCAGCTGGTCAGGTGGTAGTTTGCTGACCCCTGATACACCTGAAAGTATATACATTGGCTTGGTCCACAACAGAGTATCAAAGGTTGTCTTCTTTGGAAAATGAGAAGTTCTTTTTAAAAAGATCTTTATTTCCCAAGTTGTCATTCATTTTTAGACTTTTCATTCATACACATTTAAATATATTATCTGACCACAGAAGTCAGGTGTCTAAAGCTTTAGTGAATGTAGAGAAGTGGACATAGGGGACCGCATTTGTGGGTGGAGCCTTGACCCACATGTCACAGTCAATTGTGACAAAAGTACAATGTTCACATTTAAGTGAGTACTTGAGGCTTTAGATTTTTTTTTTTTTAACCTGGATCAGAACTTACACATTCAGTTTTCCTTTTTCTATTGGAGTGTAGTCTCCAAAACAGATTTTGCACCTTTATGCTGGTAGTACCTCTTGTTCGTTTTCTGCAGTTTCCAGGTACTTCAGCCGTCTGCCTCTGGCCCCGCGGCCCCTTCTCAGCTTCGCTGTCTCTGTGATGGAGAACAGTGTACCTGCTGACGAATTGTTTCTTTGTTTTATGTCATGTTGAGTTTATTTTCTTATGCCGAAGAACGGATTCTTTGGCTTCATCATAACCAAGACAGTGAGTTTCCAAGTGTGTCGCTGTTGAAGGTGCCAGGGCTATCATTGGGTGAAAAGACAGGGCCATCAGCTGATACAGAGCATCAACTGCCCTGTTGCTTATGGGTACTCACGTGAGTGATGCAAACTTGCGTCATCACAGGCAAAGGGTAGCCCCTCGGCTGGCTAAGACCTAATTTGTGGATGTTGCCAGCAGCACAGATGCATCAAAGCCTCAGTTTAGAGCTTCCGATACTTGTCTCATTCCATTCGAATAGCTGATTTCATGGGGAAGCTTGTTTCCAGTTCCGTGGTGCTGTGTCTTTGTGTCTGATCACTTCCTCAGCCAGGGGACCAACCATCCCAGGGATGCCTGAGATGAGTCCCTTCGGCTTTCTGAGTTTTCTCCTAGGTTAAGGAACCAAAGCCCTTGTCCTTCACTGATTTGTAGAGCTGTTTTGAAGATGAAAGAGCTTTAACTTAAACCATAAAGTGTTAGTAAAGCAAGACATTAACAGTTGCCTGGCTCAGACATGGAGCTGCCTGGAAGGTTTTCCTGGACAGCTCTCCTGTGTCCTGTGGCTCACACACTGTTAGCAGTCAGTGAATGTCGATCGCACACTTACCTGGTGTCAGTGTTACCATCGGAGTTGCTGTAAGGATTTCCTAGTTTGGTATTGGTCCATTTTTTTTTTTTTCTTCACCACCTTTATGGTCATAATCAGAAGTCTAGTAAATAAACACAGAACCAGTGAGTAACAGTGCTTGGTTATGTGGTCACAGCACTGGCTTAAGTACCGTGGGAATGGGTGGTGTAAGGCATGTTTGCTGACTTCCAATGCGAAGCCGATCACCAAGTCCTCTGTCTCCCTCTGTGGACTTTCATATCAGCGGAAGAGAAGAAAAACATAGCTTTTTGACACATTTAAAAAATCTAAATTTCATGTTCAAAAGTGCCAAACACAGCAATATGAGTAAACACCACTGATTGTACACCTAAAAATGGTTAAAATCATATATTTTATATGCTGTATATTTTACCACACACACACACACACACACACACACACACACACACACACAAGTTTAAAAAGAAACTGTCAAATAACGGTTTGTAAGGCCTATGCTGATATTACCTTGGTGCTATGACAAAAAAGATGCCCTTTGTCCAGTCCCTGTCCCTGAGGGCAGCTTCCTGGCAGGGTCTCTGATGTCCCGTCTGAGAAGGACCCTAGTCACTTGCTATTCCTAGACAGCAGCTCTTCTGCCCCTCCTGTTAATTCATGGATCAGCCCTGCTGGACTCCCCACATTCATTTTTTTTCCCAAATATGTAGCATTATCTCCTGTTTCCAAAATTAAAGCCTTTATGACTTTTTAAAATGATTTTTATTTTGAATTATCCAATTATGCATTAATACATGCTTGTTTTTAAAAATTTAGAACGTTTGGGACACCTGGGTGGCTCAGTCGGTTAAGCGTCCGACTTCAGCTCAAGTCATGATCTCACAGCTCGTGAGTTCAGGCCCCGTGTCAGGCTCTGTGCTGACAGCTCAGGCTGGAGCCTGCTTCGGATTCTGTATGTGTGTGTCTCTCTCTGCCCCTTTCCCACTTGCGCTCTGTCTCTCTCTCTCTCTCTCAAAAATAAACATTAAAAAAATTTTTTTTAAATTTAGACTGAAAATAGAGACAACAGTTGTTCTGTCTCATAATAGTTTGAGTTTGTCCTTGTATCTCTCCAGAAAAATCATTCTGCCTCTGTTTATATACAAACACCCATGCGTGTACAATCAGCTTTAATATTATTTAAACTGGGCAAGATACATTCCTTAAAAATATGTTGTAAAATATTTGTATTTATAGAAATATATTTGCATACTTTTTAAACTTTTATTTTGTGGGGCGCTTGGGTGGCTCAGTCGGTTAAGTGACTGACTTTGGCTCAGGTCATGATCTCACAGTTTGTGAGTTCGAGCCCTACATTGGGCTCTGTGCTGACAGCTCAGAACCTGGAGCCTGCTTCGGATTCTGTGTTTCCTCCTCTCTCTGCCCCTCCCCCACTCGCACTCTCTCTGTCTCTCTCAAAAATAAATAAAACATTAAAAAAAAAGTTTTAAGCTTTTACTTTGAAATAATTTCAAATGTACAGAAAAGTTGAAAGAATAGTATGGAAGTCATCGATACCCTTGACCCAGAGACTCATTCAAGTTCATCAGTTGTATCAGTGATGCCATTTGTAGCAAAAGGATCAGACATTGCACTCGGTTGTCATATCCCTCTACTCTCCTTCAGTTAGGCTCTCCTCGACTTTCATGACGTCAGTGTGTTTGGGAATTTGAGATTAGTCATTTTGTAGAATGCTGCTGAATTTGGGTATGCTTGGCGTTTCCTCATGATTGGATCCAGGTTCTGTATTTGGGCAGGAACATCACAGAAACAGCACCATATTCTCCCTGCATCCTGAGCGGATGTCAATTTGTCTCACTATTGATCTTTTACCATTAATTGACCAAGATGGTCAATTACTTCTTCACTTCTCCGCTAACATAGTTATTTTTTTCTCTGTAAGTACTAAGTATTTTGTGGAGAGATACTTGGAGATTATGTAAATACCCTGTGCTTCATCCCCATGTCACTCACTAGTTTTAACATCTGTTGATATTTCTCGTATGAATTATTATTCTGACAGTTGCTAAATGCTAATTTTTTATACCATCATTCCTTGTACATGAGCAGTTGTTATTATTCTGCAAAGAATAGCTTTTTCATCTTCCTCTTTATTCATTGGTTAATTTATTTCCGTCTGCATGGATTCATATATTACTATTTTCATCAAGGGGTTATAAGCCATAACCAGCATTGCTTACTTTCATGTCCCGATTTTCCCAGATTTGGTCCGTGGGAGTCCCTTTAAGTCAGTTACCATGTCCTTTGACATGTTCTTTGAGAACTTCATTCTTTCTGGCACAGCAAGGCTTATCTCGTACTTTCCCTGATTCAAGCTAAAATCTAAACAGTGGATGTGGTGATGGCTACGGGGTGACGCTGCCTCTGTTCTCTCGGAGGGTATAGTTAGGAAATACGTTCATGTAAAAAAGTTATATTAATGCATATTTCTGTACCTATTTCGACATTGAAAACAAAGAATTATATCCTTAGCTCCAATTCATATCCAAGACCACAAAGTTTATTCTAGTTTCCTACTTTCTCTATTTTTTCGGTCAGTGAGAAATCTGCCTTCCTTTATCTGCAGTATATTTACAAATTTTTTCAGTCCTTTTTAAGTAGCCAGTTTCCCACCACACTGAGTCACTATTAATTCCTGCTCATGTCTGCCTAATGGATTTTGGACTCTGGAGGAAACAAAAGGGGGCAGGAGGAAGGAGGGATAGTTCTTTCTGCATATTTTATTTTATGAATAGTGTTCCATGACTTGATTGTGCTTGTTTGACCTAACAGTATGATGACATATCTGGAATATTTCACATATTAGTGTATGTAAGTCTGCTTTATTCTTTTTAATAAATGCTTTCTATTTCATATGTACTATATATATATGTGCACATTTTCTATATTGTTATTAAGCTTATTTTTACACTTTTTCATTGACAACTGTGCATTTGTCTTTGTGTGCATGAGATTTTATATTAGTAGAAGAAGAATTGCACATTAAAGGGCATTTTTGTTAGTGTGTGTATATCTGTATATAGGACTTACCAAGAATATAAATTATACATATACGTATATGTTATATTTTCATTTAGAAGATAGAAGAGGAGTCATGATCAAGATGAAAGTAATTATTACAGTTAGGTCTGAGTGTGTTATTCACTTTAAAGTTATTTGGAACATGAACGTAATTTCCTAGATTATGGTAACAATATCTCATAATTTTATAGGTCAGTTTGTGGTTCTGTCATTCTGGTTAAACCTAACAGGGTTTGCTTTTTTCTTAGGTTATCCAAATGTGAAACATTTTTCTTGGGATAAATACTTAGAAGAAACCAATTCTTTACCTGCCCCTGCAAGAGCTTTCAAAGTGGTGAGTTGATACATTTTGCACTATTTCATTCATTTGTGTTGGCAATAGTGTTCATTCATTGAAATTGCAGAACAGAGACGGTACTACTGAGCCAGAAAGAGGAAGAGGAGGGAAACAGAAGACCACAAAAGATGTTTTTGACTTCTTACAATTTTGAAAGTCAAAATTATTACAGAGATTTTTTTGTCGTTGGCCTCATTTTGAACTTGTCTCCATGGAAAATAACTGCTTGAATTGGTGTGGAATGAGTTGTTGTGATCTTACAGCAAACTTCTGTTTTTCCAGCTAGATACTCCGAAAAACCAAAACAAGGCAGGACACTGTTTTCTAATAAAAATTGTGTTTGAGGGGCGCCTGGGTGGCGCAGTCAGTTGGGCGTCCGACTTCAGCCAGGTCACGATCTCGCGGTCCGTGAGTTCGAGCCCCGCGTCGGGCTCTGGGCTGATGGCTCGGAGCCTGGAGCCTGTTTCCGATTCTGTGTCTCCCTCTCTCTCTGCCCCTCCCCCGTTCATGCTCTGTCTCTCTCTGTCCCAAAAATAAATAAACGTTGGAAAAAAAAAATTTTTTTTTAAAAATAAAAATTGTGTTTGAGAATTCCTTTGGATTTGTTTATGGCAAGCTGACATGCTGTTTTTCTTTTTATTGCTATTAATCAGCATGTTTGATTATCAAAATATAAGGCCATTTGCTTTTATTGTAGTATCTTTCTAACCCAGAGTCCTTGCATCTTACATATAACTTGTTAAGATTCAAAGGAAACCTCATTTCTCGGCAAGGGAAGAATAAGTGATGAGAGGCATTTGAAATTTTTTTCGTTTTTCTAACAGCTTGCTTAATTATTTCTATTTTTTCATAAATTTAAAGAAGAATATGTTAAGAATTTTAAGAATGTTTTTAATGTAGCATAGTCTATCGTAAGTAACACTTTTTAAAATGATTTATTGTGTATAAATTGCTAGGGTTTCTAATGATAGGATTAATTAGGGATATGGGCCCAAATAATAGGAAAAAAAAGAACATGAAATATTTTTGAGAAAAGAAGTATATTATGTGAAGAAAAGCCATGTAAAAGAATGTGTATGGTCCATCTGATAGTAAATTTAGGATTTAAAAATGGATAATTAGAGTTCTGCCTTACTTAGGAATTTTTACCTGACTGTCTAACTTTATCTCAAGCTATACAAAGAACCGCATCGCTCTTTGCTTGAACTCGATAAAATCGTATCGAGATCAGTCTGCATATCTCGTGTCACACTGAGACCTGAGAGAAAACTACGATTTCCTTAGTTTGGCCTTTAGGTGCCTGGCATTGATTGTTTTTTATCCTTTGCGTAATTTTCACACTTAATTCTCCGAGCCACAGTTTTGTTACAACCACTTCACAGAACAGGGGTGTGAGGCTCAGATGGTTTAAGCAATTTACCCAACATACCCTTGAGCTTGCCTTCGACATCCTGCAACTTTTCCAGAGGTTTACAGGTTTCTGCTGAGTCCTGAGGTGGAGCTAGCTAAGGTGTGGGAGGAGAGGTCTTCCTTTCTCATTCCTGTTCTTACAAGAGTGATTTCATCCCATACGTTTTGATGGCTAATTTTCTTTTTCTAAAGACGTCTCCTGCTTTTTGTTCTCATGGCCATTTCTAGTCTCTGTCACATCTCTGCCACTTTAATGTTCTTTCTTCTGTTTTCATAAATAATTTTTATGCTTGTTGATTTTTGCCAAGATGCCTCCTCCTTTTTTGTAAAAAGAATTTTTTTTTAATGTTTATTTATTTTTGAGAGAGAGAGAGAGACAGAGCATGAGCAGGGGAGGGGCAGAGAGAGAGGGAGACACAGAATCCAAAGCAGGCTCCATGTCTTGAGCTGTCAGCACAGAGCCCGTCGCAAGGCTCAAACTCACAAAAGGTGAGATCACGACCTGAGCCAAAGTCAGAGGCTTAACCGACTGAGCCTCCCAGGTGCCCCGCCCCTCAAGACACCTCCTTCTAACTAATGAGAAAAACTTCTTGCCTTCCCTATGCCTAATCAAATATCCACAATATTTTGCATTTTCTCTTAAGGTCTTTTGCTTTCTGTTTCCTCCGGCTGGGTGCTCAGGCTGTTTCTCTTGCTTCAGGGTTTGGCCGTGTGATTTGGGATTGTGTCTTTTTTTTGATAAGGACAATGAGGTCCAAAGCTACTGTAGGAACTTGGGAGTTTGAAGGTCAATTCTGTAAATAGCTTATTATTCTGTCTTTGTGACACAGAGCCTACTTTCTCTTCCTCTGAATCTTACCATGTAAAATTTTCTGTATGGCAGAAACCTCCACATGGATTCCAGAAAAAAATGAAGCTTGAAGTCATAGACAAGAGAAATCCTATGTTTATTAGAGTAGCAACAGTTGCAGACACGGATGATCACCGAATAAAAGTGAGTGTTCTCTGTTGTGGTTCTGTTTTGTCTTTTGTTACAAGATAACTTGGATGGAAACTTCGGCAGATACTTAATTTGTGAAGTCCTAGAATTAAATCAGTAAGACTACAGGAATATGAAAATAAAGTGGCTGTACATCTTTGTCAGTATTTATCCAGTGTTTTCCTTTAATCTATGCAAGAAGTTCTCTTTAGTTATGACTGACATTTAATATGTTGTATCTACTTTCTTTTTCCGAGCACACACTCAGAATGTGAAAAGTCATAGGTAAGAAAGGGATTTCTTCTGAATACAGTGCGTCATTCTCCAATACAATGCTCTTTTTTTGAAAACTTGAAGATTAATTTTGATGGGGTTATATTAGATGTAGAATTTTCAGAAGAAAAGTAAAGAAGGATAGCCCTTTCATATAGGACAAGGAAAGAGAAATGATTGTATAAGAAAGTCAGGTTTTAATTAGATTTGGATTAATAAAAGCGAAGTACCTCTCCGAGGGTAAGCGAATGTTCAGGAAGGTGGCTTCGGTCTGTCGTGTCCCGGGTGATGAAGTGAAGTGTAACAGTGGTTCCAGGTGAGGAGCTAGAAGTTATCTCTGGTTCTGGCTTCTGTGTTTCCTTCGCCCTCAAATGAGAGCCCTGTTCATTCCACTTACTTCACTGCGAAAACAGCAAGATGTTAGATCTACGTGGTGTCTTGCCGGCCCTTACCAGCTAACAGCGTTCTTCCACTATTCAACATATGTGGTGGTGACAGTGCAGGGGGTTTATGTGACAATCACAATTTTATCTGGGAAGCAGAGGCTCAGGAAGAGTTGATGAATTACTTATTAATTCTGGCAGTGGCAGAACTAAGTCACAGCCCTAAACTCTAGGAGTCGAAATTTATGCTCTTTAAAAAAATAAATATTGTGGCGCTTGGGTGGCCCAGTTGGTTAAGCACCTGACTTCATTCAGGTCATGATCTCGCAGTTCATAGATTCGAGCCCCACATCGGGTTCAGTGCTGGCAGCTCGAAGCCTGGAGCCTGCTTCGGATTCTATGTCTCCCTCTCTGCCCCTCACCCACTTATGCTCTCTCTCTTTCTCTCTCTCAAAAATAAATAAACATTAAAAACTTTAAAAACAAAAAATAAATCACATATTCAACTATCTGTAATAATATATAAAAAATTATAGAAGAACATGGAAAACGTGTATCAATGTGGTTTTGTATAAAACAGAAATTTTAATGTTTAATTAGCTATTTTTAAGATTATATAATCATGCAGTGGTTTGGAAATTATAAACAGTGCAGAGTCTGTTAACCTTTTTCAAGTGTATTTTCCTATTAATTGTCCTTGGTGTGATAGTAGAAGTCATAAAGCAATCAGAGTATTTTAGGACTAGAAGTATTTTTTAGATAACCTAGGCTAGTGATTCAAAGAAATGTAGAACTAAGCAAGATACTATTTTTAAAAATCAAATTGGTCAGAATTGAACAAAAAATAAGTGTTTTGGTTTAGGTGCATGGAAAGTTTATTTTTTTCGTGTATTTTCTTGTATTTTTCATGTATTCTTTTTCATGTGTAGCTGGTAGGAATAGAACGTATCTCGGCCACTAAAGAGCAGTTTGGTGAAGCACAAAAGTCTTGAAGGTTGTTTACCCTTTAATTCAAGAATCTCAGTCCTGGGAATTTATGTTAGGAGAATTAACCAAAGGGAATATGCAAGGCTAAAAACTATAAGGAAAACATAGCAGTTTATAGTATTTAAGGTTGCAAACAAGCACAGTAAGATGTAGGTAAAGTAAATTACTCTATATGATGGTAAATATTTAAGAAAAATATTTAATATTGGCAAGTGAAAAAACTCAGGTTGACTATTCTGTATGATGTCTGGTATTGTTTTTTAAAGAATATTATGGAAAGAAACTTAACCAAAATAATGACAGTTCTTCTCTTGGGGTGCTAAGATTATGAGTGATTATAAATGATTTTTTATAATTCTAAATGAATTATAAATGATGAGGTTTTTGGTGTGTTTTTGTTTTTGTTTTGTTTTTTGTTTTTGTTTGTTTTGTTTTTAGTTACCTGGCTTCAGGAACACATATTAATTACTGTAATAGTAAAAAAAAAAATTTAGATTAACTCTGATTTTACCTGTGAGAACGTTTTTGACCTGGAGAGGTCAAGTACTCTAAAGTGGGTAATTCAGTTAGTTAATAGGAAAAGTGTGGACTAACTTTTTAGTTAGCCAAATTCTCTTTCCAATACAACATCCTCGTTGTTTAACACCCAAAACAGAGCTGGCTATGAGGCGTTGACAATTATCTTTTCACTGTTAGTGGTATAAATTTCATAGCTAAAGGTGAACCACTGAACACGTACCTGTGTGTTTATGAAGTCCTCAAAAGATCAGCGAACAGGTGACGATGACCCAGTTTCAGGATTCATCAGACTTCTGAGACTATAAAAAGCTTTCATTAGTAGGAGTTTTTCTAATGCTGTGGGAGATGACGAAGCAAGAATGCCTGTCTTTATTATTCAGGAGGAGAAAGAGTATATAGAGACTAAGTCCTTAGCGCAGCTTAATATTTTAAGTTTCTCGGGTATAGAATCAACTCTTCAGCTAAATAAGATCAACCTTTTAGGCTACATGATATAATATATTTTATGCCTTAAGTTATTACAGGTAAACATTTTAAAACACTCATGTATTTCACCAGATGCTGAAAGAAAACAAGCAAAATGTTTTTGCTCTCATCTGTATGTTCTGGGGAGAGTTAGAACATACTACAGGCCCCGTCCCTCCCCACACTCACTTCTGCTTCCTCACAGGCAAGAACTTTCTTTTTTTTTTTTTTTTTTTTAGCTGCTGCTTCTGACATTTTATTCCTACTTTTCTGAAATAATATCTGTGTTCTGCTGTTTTCTCAGCCCCATCAATTTTAGGTCCAGTGTATTTCCTTCCTGTTAGGGTAGTTCCTTCACTGTATCTTTTCACTAGCGACTTCACATGTTTCTAAAATGTTTTCTCAGTCTTCTGTATTCATCTTCTCATGAGTAAATAAATCCTGTTGGCTGCTGAGCAGAACAGTTTTTTTCTTATGACATTTTTTTTTTCTGGAGTCAGTAATTTCTTGTGTTTTGGTTTTTTAAATTTTCTGTGCTTATAGAATCAGACGTTTACAAGTGCTCCAGTAAATCTGATGTGTCTTTCTATCAAAAGCCCAAGTGTATTTTTTTTAAATGGTTATTTATTTTTGACGGGGGGGAGGGAAGGAGAGAACGAGCAGGGGAGAGGCAGAGAAAGAGAGGGAGAGAGAGAATCCCAAGCAGGCTCCACACACTGCCAGCACAATGCCCAACCTGGGGCTTGAACCCACAAACCTTGAGATCATGACCTGAACCAAAATCAAGAGTCAGATGCTTGACCAACTGAACCACCCGGGCGCCTCCAAGTGTATTTTTAATAAGCCTTCTGTCTGTATCTTTTCTTTCTTGACTCTTTTTCCTACAACTTAGCAGTCGCCTGTGGTCACCTGGGTAGTTCTCTAAGCCTTATCCTGAACTTTCATCCTGAGACTGCTCTTTGCTGGCAGACTATGTTGTGCTTTTCTTTCTTTATTTCTCTTTCTTTTCTTTTCTTTCTTTCTTTTCTTTTCTTTTCTTTTCTTTCTTTCTTTCTTTCTTCCTTTATTTCTGTTTTTTTGAATCACATACTTGTTTTTCTTAGTGTTCTCTTATCATGTTGAAACACATCTTTTTGTAACCTTCTAAGAAAGGGTATATGAAAAGCATCTGCTTTTGGCTCCTTGCACATCTGGAAATATCAGTATTACTAGTCTTACATTTGATTCATACTGTGACTAGGTGTAGAATTCTAGGTAGGGAGCCATTTTCCCTCAGAAATTGAAAGCCTTGTTCTGCTGTCTTCTCACATCCATACTGACTGACCTTAGACCTCTAAGGCCATACCAGTCGTTCTGCTCTGGGTGAGTACTCATGCAGAGTACTCGGGCTTTTTACTGTGGAGTTTCATGTCCTCCAGTTTTTGCACATGTTTCTTGTATTACTAGTTGATGACTCCCTGTTGTCATCCTGTGTCTTCTCTTTCTGGAAGTCCTGCAGCTCTGGTTGTTAAACCTTTTGAATTGACCCCTTGATTTTCTTATACTTTCTTTTTATGCTTCTCTGATTTTTTTATTCTACTTGTTTAGAGAGATATCTACTCTATTTTTCGAAACCTAGGTTGCTTTTTTTAAAAACTTTTTTAATGTTTATTTATCTTTCAGAGAGAGAGAATGTGTGAGCGGAGAGGGGCAGAGAGAGAGGGAGACAGAGGATCCAAAAGGGGCTCTGTGCTAACAACAGAGAGCTGAAGCCGGCCACTTAACTGAGCCACCCAGGCACCCCATGTTTTAAAAAATATTTTTATGTTTTATTTTTAATTACAATTCTGATTTTTTTAATTTTTGAGAGTTTTTTCCTATTTTCTAGCCTCCTCCCCCTTTTTAAATGGCATCATCTTTTTATTTCTTGAAGCAATATTGTTTCGTATCTGAGGATACTAGTGATGGTTTTTCTTCTGTCCTCTGCTTATTTCCTCCAAATTTCTGCTATCGTATTGGAGCCTCTCCTCAGATATCAAGTCCTTGACTGACCGTCTGCATTAAGAAAAGGCACTCATAAAGTTAACTGTTTTTCATGGGTGGGACTTAACAGCAGACTTCAGCAGACTTCACTGTAAGAAAGCAGAAGAGCCAGCTTTTTCACAGGGACGTTCCCATTTGTTGGCATCTGGGTCCTTCTCTGGAGCCTGTCAGTTTCTGCCAGAGTCCTCCCTGGGGAAGAGTGAACCTGGCGGTCGCTGTGCGAGAAAGAGAAGGGCTGGGTGGGAATATACGGCTCTTGGTTGTACAAATTCCTGTGCTTTCTGTCCAGCCCATTGCCCGTTCAGGTCTGTTCTAGAATTGAGAGCCTTGGGAATTTTTTTCTCTACAAGATAAATGTCTGCTCTT